GTCTGGGACAACTCAATACATTGTTCTATATTGAGTTAAATATTTCATTATAAATTGTGTTTCACTTAAAAATATTTTGGAATTCCCACCTCTCCAGTTGGTATGCCGGGTTGAAGTGGCTCTATCCAGACTTCCGACGGCAATATTTCTTAGGTTTCCTTTTCCGAATCTTTACAACCAAAAAACCTCCTCACCTTCTTGATTTGTTTACTCCTTGTCCTTCTGTCCATTATGTAAACACGATATTCCAGTCTACAAACTTGTACATATCTTCTCGTAGAACTGTTTCTTCCTTTTTTTTATATAATAGTTGGCCCATGCGAAAAATTCGCATAGCATATTGTTAAGTGATCAAATGCCAAATTAATAATAAAATAAAATAATGCAACGTATCATAAGATAAAGAAATCAATTGTTACTTCCTCGATAAATATAATCGACAAAGAAAACAAAAATAAATTTAAAACTTCATTAATCTTTGGAACCAACATATTAACAAATTACAATAAGCTGTATCTTTGCTAAAAACTGTCCGGTTTCGATGATTTTTTTTTTCCTTTTGTAGGAAATTCAGTAATCTTTTATACAATCATGGGCATAACCAAGGGACAAGTGTATAATTTTTTAGTTAACGCAAATAAAGTTTCTTTTCTTTCATACTTTGTTTGCCGGAATTTTAGGAGTGATTGGACTATTTGGCCCGCCTGAAGGAGAAGGAACCTTTCGAAATTGGTGGCTCAATCTTGGGATTTGGTGAAGAATTGACGATGATGTGGCTTGCTGATCAAAAACACATTAAATAATATAAACTCCTCCTCTCTCGATCATAGAGGCTTCAAGTCGACGAAATGAGATATGTATTCAATGACAGTAGTACAATTAACGTATGGTTGTGTGGATGCGAACCCTATGCCTTGCGTTATCTCGAAAATAGTACGTTTTTGGGCTTAAAAACGCAGGATCTTTGGGTCTTCCCGAATCGATCTGCAGACTTGCCACCTTTCCCGTATTGAAGCTAAGCAAAATGTTTGTATCGACTTTATTTATTTTAGAAAGAAAAAGAAACGCGGAGAATACGATTCGCTAACCCCCCTTGAAATTCTGAATCCAACTGTACTCCATTAATGATATTTGAGCATGACAGGAGCTTATATTTGGTACAAAACCGATTTAAAGTCTTACTGTAATAATATATCTAGGGATGGGGATGGGGATTATTTTTTTTATTCATGATATTTAAAACAGTATTAAAAAAAAAATACATCTTGTAAATGTGCACTCAGGAATAATAACATGAAAACGCTAGTTGAGAAACTACCCAATAATAGCACTCTAATAATATATTTACATAATAAGATCATGAGGCCACCTTCTTTTCAGACACCTCTGAGGGTTATCAGAGATCGAGGAGGAAGCAAGGGTTGAAACTAGGATTCGGATGGTTCGGAAGTTTGTTATGGAAGGATAGGTATCTGGATTGGGCGAAATCGGAAACATATGGAACATTTAGGTCATTATGGATGACTTTATTTGTAACAAAGTAAGGAAGATTGAGGATTTTACGAAGGATTTAGGATTGTAAGGAATTCGATGGTTTAGTGGAGCCCCAAAGCTCAATTCCATAAGTCGAAATAGGTCTTATTATTATCCGTATCCGTACATATATTATTACAGGCAGGCCCGAAATCGGTTTTGTACCAAATATAAGCTCCTGTCATGCTCAAATACCATGAATGGAGTATCGTTGGATTCAGAATTTCACGGGTGGTTAGCAAATCGTATTCTCCACTTTTGTTTTTCTTTCTAAAATAAATAAAGTCGATACAAACATTTTGCTAGGCTTCAATGCTGGAACGGTGGCAGGTCTGTAGATCAATACTGGACAAATTGGATCTAGAAGATAACTCCCTATAATTCCCTCAGAACTATCGGATCCTGCGTTTTTAAGCCCAAAAACGTACTATTTTCGAGATAACGCAAGGTATAGGGTTCGCATCCACACAACCTTACGTTAATTGTAGTAGTGTCATTGAATACATGTCCCATTTCTTCGACTTGAGGTCTCTATGATCGAGACAGGAGGAGTTTTATTATATTATTTATCGATGATGTTTTTGATCGGCAAGCCATATCATCGTTAATTTGTAACCAAATCTCAAGATTGAGCCACCAATTTTGAAGGGTTCCTTCTCCTTCAGGCTGGCAAAATAGTCGAATAACCCCGAACATTCAGGCAAACAAATTATGAAAGAAAAGAAACTTTACTTGCGTTAACTAAAACATTACACACTTTTCCCTTCCTTACTCACCTTAATAGGCAAAACCTCATCTTTTATTTCATTTAAATACCAATTATTCTCCCATCTCTTCAGCAATCAATCTTCCGAATAAATGCAAGAATTACATTTTTGTATTTTAGTGTTGTGCCCCATTTTACTGTCGTTTAACAATTATCTTTATGATTATTCATAATATTAAAATAAAGGATAAGTGTAATTAAACAAATTAAATTTAAATATAAATATATTTTCATAGTTGTATTGATTATCAATATAGACAAATTGATAATCAATACAACTATGAAAATATATTTATGTCTATTTATATTTAAATTTAATTTGTTTACTTTCACTTATCCTTTATTTTAATTTTAAAGTTACACAACTCTGTAATTTAATCAATTCTTGAATGTATTTTTATGGCAGACAAATGTCACATTTATGTTAATTTATATTATTCTTAGGGCACTAAATGTCTCAGAATAAAATTGAATTTCCTTATTATTCATAATTTATAAATTCCTATTCTTCAGTACTCAAACAGTCATCCACTTTCTGCATTACCTTGTCTCGCAATTTTGGAATTTTGCTTCCTCTTTATCACTCTTGTTCTCCTAATATCCAATCTATGCCTGTTGCTGAACAAAAAATCCCTCATAGATGAAATTTCCGTCTCTGATCCAAGAATGGAAAAGCTTCATTTAAGAAGGTAATATATTCCAAAGATTTCAGATAGAACAGATCTACAGATGAACAGTGATATTTCTCCAGTTTTTAATTGTCTAAAATTTCATTGAAATCGATAAAAAGAGTCGAACGGCATTTAAAAGAAGCAAATCAATAAAATATTATTGGAAATGGAATTTAACTTTATATTAAAAAATCTGGTGTGTCCACTCACACGAATTTCCGACCTATTTCAGAAAAGTTTTTATATCTTTACATATGTTCACGAAGAAACAAAAAAAAAAAAAAAAATTGAATTAGATTTATTTTCTTAAAAATTGATGAAAGAAAAGATTTGAGTACGATTTATTTGATAGACTAAAGCAATGTAAACTTTTTGCCATTGCTTAATTTTGTCAAACAATAATTTAAGTTAAAAGTAGAAGAAATAGTGAAGCTTGTGTGATGGGAGCAACAGATTTTCTTACTTTCACTTAGTCATCTTTTTTCTTTCATTCACCCCTTTCTGACACCAGGATAAGAACCCGCAATCTTACATTAGAAATTGAATAGTTGTAACTTCGTTAATAGTTGTCCGAAATGAATGATTTTTATATAGTTTTGTAGGAAATTTCGTTACCTTTAAAAAAACAAACAGGTATACTATAAACGGTATACTCATGGGCTCTGAATTTTCTACATGTGTAGAAAATAGAATAAGCTGTATCATCATTAGTACTGGTTCAATTCCGATGATTTTTTTTTTGTTTTGTTGGTAATTTAATTACCTTTCAAAAGTTTTATTTTAAATTTTACCGTATAATACACACTTAGCGAGTTTGGCCCCAAAACATTTTTCTTTTTTTAAAACTCTTTTTCCTGAATTTTAATTAAGACTATACTAAGGGAATTAAGACTATATACGAAAATTGAAAGGACAATGATTAGAATATTATAGGAAAGTTTAATCAAAATTGTTAGAGCCGTTTTCGCGCTACAGTCTATAGAAAAAACATGTTTTTTATTTATTGAGCGCAAGCTATTGCGCAAGGAGCACCGAATGTCTGTCGCAGGCATCAGTAGTCAAAACCCTACAAAATAAAAAAAAGAAACAAAAAACTCGGTTTAGTAGTTCCCGAGAAAATCTTGGCACAGACAGACCAATGGCTAAAAATGTGTTTTTCGGAGGGGGCTCTGAAACGTATAGATCAAAAACCGCGTATCGGAAATTTGACCCGATCGGAATACTTTCCTTACCTAGTATAGGTAGGAAAGAAAAAAAAATGAACAATGAAAACTAAATTACTACAAAGTTTTGATCAATCTATTATTTATATTGCTATTATAGAAACATTTTCGGTTGGGGAAAATAAAAAAAAAAAATGATGCTTTCTTGAAAGCTTTCGACTTTTCAAAACCCTACATCTTTTACTTGAGATTAGTCAAAACATGTGTAACATAGAATGGTTACCTTCTGTTAAGTGTCATTAGTTTGAGATTTGAATAAAACTCAACCTTCATGAACAGAAAGAGGTATTTTCTTATGGAGTCTTGGTGAGAAATTATTTTATTTTTTTATTCTTAAGTAGGCCTGATTTTCCCTTTATTCTGCTTTAATTTATAATTTATAATAATTTAGGATATCTGTGAACTAATGGCTATACAAAATGACAATAAGTAAATGAAATATATTATACGAGGGAGGAATTAATTTTCACCATTAAAATAATAAACCAAAACATGAGTAGAAATTACAATTAGGTCAGTTTTTGCTAAAATGGTCCGATTTCAATGAATTTTTTTGTCATTTTGTAGAGGATGTGTAAACCTTCCTAATTTCAGGTTTATTTTAATAAAAAAAAACCTGAATTATTATATAATTCATTATTATTTCAATAAACTTTGAGGATATTCATTAAAACGATGGCTTAATCATTGAATATGATAAAGAATTATCGAAAATTTGACGTACCGAAAAAAAACTCCTTTGAGGAATTGTTTATAAAAATAAATTAATTGGAAATCGATTAATTTAAACGGTATTGGATAGAGAGGATAGGTAAATAATTGACAAAACAAATTCATTGCCGTAAAAAATTATATTTACAAAATAAATAGCGCTAAGCGATCATTGGATAAAGCAGTTGATGATAATGAAGTGCCTTCAGCCCCAGACAGGTAGCGCTGGATATGCAGGGAGTCTGTAATATGGGTAACCTGTAAAAGAAAACAATAATTATATTTATTATATATATTTATTTATTAACAAATATTACAACTATATCTCATTCAACATAGTTGTTGTAATAAGTGTATACTTTTATACCTTAATTGAAACATAAAAGTTAATTCTTCTTTTTTGCTGGGAAGATGTATACTATTCTTTACTTTCGGCATTGAAAACTTCCAGGTATACAGCCATTGGGCAACAATAGTAAAATAATAAATAATTAGATCAAAACCTCGGAATGTTGATGCTCCAGATAGTATACTTTTATTATTGAAAGATGTTAGTGGACTGTTCTACATATATTGGGTGATAAATAATCAGGGCGCAGTCTATTATATTTATAACATATAAATTTTAAATCATGAAAAAAGAGCACATCAGGCTTCAGGTAATTATAACATTTTATGTAACTACACAACTTTAACATGTATTGTAACATGCATTATTTAATTACCTCTTTTCTAGCCATAAATCGCCATGAAAGTATGGAATTAATCTATGAGAATGGGAATAATTTTCCCGAAATCTGACATGTAAATCAACAAATAAACCAATTATTTGTACACCTATATATAAATAAATAAGTATATCTTATTTTTGTGATAAAGCTTTAATATGAACTGTTTTTGATTTTTTTAAATTTAATATAACCTGTTATTAATTATAATATTGTATATATATTAATTAATTGTGTTATTAAATAATTAACATTATTTTTTAATTATGTGAAGGATTTAATCAGAATATATTTTTTTTGTTTAGCCATCTTTGAAAATAGAAATATCAAATTTCGGTTTTTGGAATGAAAATTGGTATGTAGAAGGAGTAGAACAAAAAAGTTGTACTGACCCACTTTTTTCAAATGTTTGACATCCGCCTGAAACTTCGTTAATAGCTTCATCTCATCATATTTTATTTACCAAAACTCTCGAAATTGGGGACTTTTCAATTTGTAGGTCAGCAAACATTGTCTATTTAATTAGGTACTAAAAACTCATGAATACACATTTGCTTTCCACTCGAATCGTAATATGATCACAAAGGTGAAAAAAAAAGTGGCCTACAAAAATATTGGTCCGTTTGGCACGACCTCCACCCCCAAAACCACTATTTTTTTCGACTTTGTGGTCATATTATCTTAAGATTCAAGTGGAAAGCAAATGAGTATTCATGAGTTTTAGTACCTAATTAAATAGATAAAGTTTGCCACCTCCAGATTGAAAACACCCCAATTCCGAGAATTTCGGCAAATAAAATACTTGTACAGGATGAGATGAAACTATTCACAAAGTCTTAGGGGATGTTATATTAATAATTTGATAAAAAGAGATCTGTACCACAGACTATAATTAAAGACTCGTCACTAACGTCTAAATGTATTTACTACATATATTTTTCGGAAAAATCCTCACTGCTCCTTACTTTGCCACAAATAAAATCATCCATAATGACCTTAATGTTTCTTATGTTTCTGACCTAGCCCAATCCAGATACCTATCCTTCCATAATAAACTTCAGAACCATCCAAACCCTCTCGTTTTCAACCTTGCTTCCTCTTCGATCGCTGACAACCCTCCGAGGCGTCTGAAAAGAATATGGCCTCGAGATCTCCTTTTGTTAATACATTTTTAGAGTGCTACCAGTGGGTAGTTTCTCAACAAGTGGTTTCATGTTATTTTATTCTTCTGTTCACATTTACTGAATATATTTTTATTTGTAATACCGTTGTAAATATATCAATAAAAAAAAAAAAAAATTAAGTGATATAACCCATACTTCCATTAGTTATAGATTAGATTTTCTATGGACACCTCTCTTCGTAAACAAAGTTTCGAATGTAGTTATTCTCAGGCGTATTTATCAAATCATTCAAGATTTATGTGCCGATAAGTCCTTTTAGTGATATCATACTGAAATTACTGATTTATAACAAAATTATAAACAAGATAATTAATATTTCACTTTTATTCTTCGGTCACCCCGAGAGTCAACCACATCCAAAAAAAAATTAATAAAAATTAAAGATAACCTTTGGATTCGCTCCTGTTTTTGTTCAAATTTGTTATAACTTGTTTACTATCAGCCTTCCTCAAAAGTCTTTTTAAGGTTCTGTATAAATCTCCTTATCGTAAAATATAACCATTTGCTTACAGGGATTGGAAAAAAAAAATGTGACCTTATAAAGGTAATAACAGTTAATCATTTCGGTTGAGAATCTTTTCAACGTTTCACAACCTAGGAATGATGGTAAGGGTTTTTGCCTGTCGTCTTATGAATGTTTAAGGACAATCTCTTACAGCGAGAAGGAAAGGACGATTTTGAAATATGATCGAATATCGAAATTCTTTTTTTTTTACAGATGATGCACTCGCTTCGCAAAAGGAAAAACGCAAGCTTGAATTTTTTTTTAATGTTACTTCTAGAATAACATAGACCTTGATCAGTTGTTAAAATATTTTTACAAATCATTTATTTCTTCATATGGGATATAGTCACAGAATAAAGTGAATTTTCTATTCTATTCTAAAAATTATCCCCTATAAATTCGTTACTAATTAGGTACATATCCTTACATTATCAATGATTAGAGAATTATAAAATCAGATGAGTAATTTCATAAGAATTTCCACTTGTCTTTATTATAACGCGGAAAGGTACTGAACATCAATTTTTCTCGAAAAATCAATTTTGGCTTTGAACCCTGAAAGGGGTTTTAAAATGCAGCCAAAATCTTCCTATTGTTTGGAAAACAGGAAAATGATAACATACTACATTACTACAAATGATTAACAACAGATTACTTGTTACTTACTTGTTGTTACTTACGATTCGAGTGGAAAGCAAATGTGTATTCATGAGTTTTTAGTACCTAATTAAATAGACAATGTTTGCTGACCTCCTGATTGAAAACACCCCAATTTCGAGAGCTTTGGTAAATAAAATATTTGTAAATAAAGATGAGATGAAGTTATTTACGAAGTTTTAGGCGGATATTAAACATTTGAAAAAAGTGGGTCTGTATCACGAACTATTACTTTTTTGATCTCTACTCCTTCTTATCAAAAATGGACATACCAATTTTCATTCCAAAAACCGAAATTTGATATTTCTATTTTCAATGATGGCTAAACTTAAAAAAAATATATTTAAAAAAAATATCAAATGTAAATTTGATAACAAAATCGCCCTAAAATATCCAAATAACGATACAGAGAAGATTAGCATGGCCCCTGCGCAAGGACGACACGCAAAATCTTGAAGCGTTCCATATTTTTCCTCGATCTCTGATAACCCTTCGAGGCGTCTGAAAAGAAGATGGCCTCGGGATCTTCTAATATGGAACTTTAATTTGAGTTCTACCAATGGGTAGTTTCTCTTCATGTTTTACATGACATGTTACCAATGTCACATTTACTTATTATGTTTTTAATGTAATACAGTCGTAAATTTCATTAAAATAAAAAAAAAATATCCAAAGAACGGGGTTATATAGGTCAAAAAACCCATGAGGATTCATTTGAAGAATATGAGTTTCTGTATAACCTATCCTTCGCAGATGACCAGATTATCATTGCATTTGACTCTGAAGATATATAATATATTAAGAAAATTAAATGAGGAATACCAGCAGTGGGGAGTAGTTATTAATGCAGAGAAAACGGAACACATGGTATTCAATAATGAGGATATAGAACTGAATCCAGGAGGGGTTCTAAAAATAGTTAAACATTTTAAATATCTTGGTTCCATAATTGAAATAGATGGCGCATGTGATGTGGAAATAATATGAAAAATTTCAGGTGGAAAAAAGACCAAGATCAATTCTCAACTCGGTGGTATAGAGCCGGAACATTATCCCCCCCCCCCAAAAAAAAATAATCGATAACTGTATAATACTGAGCATTATGGCACATGGTTCAGAAACTTGGACCTTAAAAAGCAACCTCAGGAAGAAACTCCTAGCTACAGAAATGGAATACTGGAGAAGAGCGGCGGGAATATTCAGAATGGACAAAGTGAAAAAAAATGATAATCAGAGAAAAGATGGAGGCTAACTGAACTGTTAGGGAATCAAAAGTAATATTTATGTTATAAATATCTAATTGTTTCACATATTGTTAAAATATGGTATATGTGAATAATTATTGTTGTTATAAAAAGTAAAAAAAAGTGTAAAGTTCTGAAAATCTCTGTTTAAAGGTTTAGTTAAATAAAAACAAGTTTATTTCAAAATAGAGTACTCAAGTTATTCTAGCTCGAACCTAGGGATCAATTATAACGGTTAGTTATATATTTGACCCCTAACCGAACATGAACCATTGTGGAAGAGATTGAGAAAAAACGCCTCAAGTGGTATGGACATTTGAAAAGAATTTCTGAAGAACGACTACCCAAAGAAGCCCACTTATGGAAAACTAGGAGAAGAAGACGATGATGACCAAGGAAGACCTGGGATAACGAAGTGGAGGAATCCATGATGGGTCATGGTCGACGAGAAGAACAGACCTTACGTAGGACATTATGGAAAAAAAGCCATCCAAACACTTTAGGTTAAGGAAACCCACTATTAGTGGGAACTCTTAAATAAATTAAAAAAAAAATTTATTATTTTTTTTTTAAAATGTGCAATATTATAGTGACATTTGTTGAATTTATTTATTATTGCACATCATAAAGTGTTTATTAATTATTTACGATTAAGGTCATTGATTACTATTTTGTATATTTTGTCCTAAACTCTCCTTATATATTTTCTATCTACAATTTTAATATCCTTACATATTTCGATACCACTGAACCATTGTCACTCCAGTTTCACGAATTGGTCAAGATCCCATGATATCGCTGTAAATGGGATTCCGGGATATGAGATCTTTTACTACCCATGAAACTGGAGGACATTTGAAAGTATTGAAATAAATAAAGAAAGTAATACAGTAGTACCCGTATTGTTTATCTTACTGAATTGTTTATCTTGTGTTTATGGCAGTTGAAATTGTAAGATCACTATAATGGAATAGTCAATTCATTAATTTTTAAAGTTATCTATTCCGATAATATATAAATATATGGTTAGCTTCAAAAACAGCGACAATTTCGATGATATCGATACAGAAGGGAATATATTTAAACACGTACAGAATTGTTGTTATCTATGGTGTACGATAACTAGAGAAAAACAAAATTGAAAAGGATATTAAGGTTAGGTCAAAGGCGGGAAAGGCTATTTATTTTTCTTAGTTAGAATTTACAAAACCGTTATCCTTCCTACGGTTCTATATGGAAGCGAAACGTGACCGCTTACATTAGGGGATGAGCAACGTCTTAAGGTTTTGGAAAAAGAATTGTTGCAAAGAATATTCAGATCGAAGAAGGATAAGTCAATCGGAGAATTTAGGCGGTTACAACGCTGAATTGCGCGAACTGTATTCGGTTAATATAATTGAGATGATCAAGTTGAAGCGAATAAACGGGGCATGTAAAATCGCTGGGCATAGTAACAAAAAAATCTCTAAAAAATTAATATGTGCTGTGCAAACTGGCAAGCGTACGAGGATTAGACAAAGCGAAGGTGGGAAGATTGCGTTAAGGCTGATCTGGAGGAATTAGGTTTTGACGGTGCCCGGTGGATGGAAGAATGCGGACATCGATTGGTTGTATCGGCATTGAACTTTCAGGTTCGCCAAGCCTTATTGTTATTATTATTATTATTATTACCTATTCCAAAGTACTTCTTGTATGGGTATCCATAGTAACCTGGGTATCCATAGTAGCCGTAGTATCCACCGAAGGGATATCCTCCTGCGTAGAACCCGATCCCGAAGGTCTCCGCTGTCTTGAGATCGTCCCCCGCGGACTCCTCGACGGGCTTCTGGGTGGTGGTGACTTCTGCCCTGCAGGCGGCCACGATGAGGAACACCACCTGGAAGGATAGCATACGTCTATGATAATGATCAATCACTAAAGTGGAGTATTAGAGTTAGTTTTCACAGTAATAATTATAAAAATCTGATGCAGTGCGCGCATCACACAGTTTTCAATTACCACCCTCTTCTTAGCAGAAATAAGAATTCTCAGACAAACGAGAAGTGAAGGTAAAAATTATAGACTATATATTTATTAATATTTCAATAAGGATATTTTTATTTGTATAAGTACTCTTATATATACAAATTTTAATATTTATATTGCTGTAATCTATACAATTAAATATTAAATAATGCCAACAATATCATTTATGAAAACCAAATATGTATATTTTGATAATATTGTCGGAGTCTTTAAGCTCCTGTTACGTATGGATGCCTTCATCTTTCGGGCGAGCTCGGGTGTAATCGATTACAACTGTTCTCCGTTACGATTTGTTATTTTCTCCTTTACATAATGATCAAATTCTCTTCATATTTTATATTTAACTATCTTTTACATTACGAATTAATCAGAAATCGTCAATTGTTTCAAGTAAAAAAAAATTGAAGGTACTTTAGAGGTAGCTAATATTGAAAATTAGCCATTTAAATCCTGTTAGAGAACATCAATCAGAATAAAAACTACATTTTATTTAAAACTGCTTAATTTTACTCTGATATAAGGAATTTAATCAAAATCGTTAAAGCCGTTTTCGAGAAAACCGTAAAAAAGTGTTTAGTCCATAATATAAAATGTCACTTCCGGATAGCCGATTTTGACGAAAAAGTTCCTGAAACATCCCATACATATAAAAACATTAAATATGCAATTTCACTTTCGTACGACTTTTTGTTTTTGAGCTAGATTGCTAACAAACAAACACATACACACACACACACTGACCATTTTGTGGGACTTGGTTATTCGGCCTTAGGGGGATCTCAAAACGTGTATTTCCTTTGAAAATTGCCATTTGAAAATTTTCCCGAATCGTATAGTAATACGATATAAAGTATTATCAATACTTTTCTTTAATATTTCATTTCGTTCAATATTTCATATATAGCTAAGCGAAAATAAAAAATCTGCCAAGTAGTGTCACAGCATCCTCACTGTGTAGAAAACATAATAAATTTCCAATTTATTTCAACTAATTGAAGAAATCTTAACGCTGCTGCCATCTCTGGACAAGCAAGAAAAGCCTTAGAAGAAGCTTTCGACAAAAAACAAAACTATATACTTAATAACATATGAAGATTTGGAATTTTATAAGTTTTAATAAGTCTTCCATTATTGATTGATATATAATCGAGTTTTACTATAATAATTTTATTTTTATTTTAAATATAATCTAAGAATTATGTTGAGTTGATCAGCTGGATCATGTGTGAACATTGATAAAAGTGAGGTTAATTTTTCTTTGAAAATCTTTTTGACAAAATCTTAGAGTAAATTAACAGTGAAAACTTTTCTTTTTGTTGCATTCTGTTGTTGAAACCAATTAGCTCCAAGAAATAGGAACTCCACACCTCGGTGTAGCGGTTTCACCGCAAACGATGTCTGAGACGTCGATATCTGCCAGTTCTACAGAAAATGTGGACGCTTTAAACTCAAACCAAACTACTGAAAATAATTGGGAACTCGTTACAGGAAGAAAACGCTCAATGGACAATAACAGAGACCCAAGAAAAGCTAAAAAGGTAAGTGAAGTTACAACAGTAACCACTAATAGTTTTGAAGTTTTAACTAACATTAGTGACGAGTCTGATGCTACCACTAAGCAACCAGTTTCTGTAAAACCGCCCCCTATCCACTTGAATGATGTACAGAACTACACCGAACTGGTCACATTTCTCCAAAATGTAGGAGGTTTGAACAGCTTTAACCTAAAATCCACATCAAGAGGAGTAACCGTATATCCTGAAAACTCTGACACATATAGACGTATAGTAGCTAACTTAAGACAGGTAGGTGCCGATTTCCATACCTATCAGTTAATAGAAGATAGAAATCCAAGAATCGTAGTAAAAAACTTACACCATGCTACTCCAATTGAAACCATAAAATACGAATTAAAATGCCTAGGCTACGATGCCACAAGTATTGTGAACGTTATTTCCAGATACAAAAATCCACTTCCCATGTTCTTTATCGATATCTCTAAAGCCACATTTAATGAAAAAATTTTTGATATCAAATTTTTATACTATACTAGAGTGAAAATCGAAGAGCCAAGAAAGAAAAGAATGATTCCACAGTGCACCCGTTGTCAGCAGTATGGCCACACAAAGGCTTACTGCAATCACTCCCCGAAGTGCGTGAGATGTGGCCAAGGACATGATAGCACCGTCTGCACAAAGACAAGAGAGACCGCAGCAACATGCGCGAATTGTAGCGGATCCCATCCAGCAAATTATAGAGGTTGTGCAACTCTAAAACAACTGAGGGAAGTACGCAATCTCCGTAAAAATATACAAAGTCCCCAAAAAGCACAAACTAGCGCACCCCCAGGTATAGACGAGTTTCCTTCTCTTCCGCAAAGTCAGCATACCGCAAATTCAGGTTCTTCAAAACCCGATTCCCAATATCTAGGACCAAAACTGCGAACTTCTCCTACAGAAGTCCCAGAAAATCACCTTCACCAGCCAAAGCATCCAGAAATGAAAAAGGGCATTACTCAACCGCCACTACCGACTTACAATCACCCGGCTTCAGCTCAGCTCTTCAACTTGGTAAGTGGATTGAATAACCTCATCCAGCCTCTTTTCAGCCTTCTCCAAGAACTGTCTCACGTTGCACAAGCCTTATCCTCCAGTTATGGCTACTAATCGGCTGACAGTGGGCTCCATGTCCGTTCTTCTCTGGAACGCAAATGGTATAAACCAACACAGGACTGAACTTGACATGTACATACATGAAAAACGGACTGACATTGCTCTCATCACTGAAACACACTTGACTCCACATTCTAAATTTTACATTCCAGGCTACAAAATATATAGAACTGACCACCCTGATAAGACGGCACATGGCGGTACGGCAATACTGATTAAGCAATCACTAAAACACAACCCTTTACAATTACCCATTACACCTGACATACAATCCACAGCAATTACTCTGTATACCCAGCACCATACCATTACCTTCGCTGCAGTGTACTGCCCTCCGAGATACGTGCTAACATCTGCAATGTTTTACAATTTTTTCCAACATCTCGGTCGGTGTTTTATTGCAGGTGGTGATTATAATGCCAAACATCAGTCCTGGGGAGCACGACTCTGTACTCCTAGAGGAAGAAATCTAAAGTCTGCCATCGATCAGCTTTCATTAAACACGATCTCACCTGATACACCTACTTACTGGCCAACTTCAAGACAGAAAACACCAGATTTACTTGACTTTTTCATTACTAAAGGACTCAGGACAGTGCCGTATACTGTAACTGCAAGCTCTGATCTTTGTTCTGATCATTCTCTTCTCAGTTTGGTACTATGCGATGAGCCTCGTACTGCATCAAAAAAACCAACACTTACAGATAGGATAATCGATTGGAAAGCTTACAGCGACTACTTAAATTCGACGCTATCAATCCCAATGTCCCTTAAGACCGAAGAGGAACTCGAAAAAGCTGTTGATAAGTTCACAATCAGCTTACAACAGGCTGTATGGTCATCATCTGTACCAAGACCTAGCAGAAATACGTCTCTTCCAATCTATCCGCAGTACATTAGAGACCTGATCAGAGCAAAGAGAAGAGCGCGCAAAGTGTGGCAGACTGGTCGACTTCCATCTGACAAACGGACTTTCAATAGACTTAACAATGAACTTAAACGACAGATTCAGAATTTTAAAAGAACGAACTACGACAATTACCTCAAAAATCTTTCGACTGACGATGGAAGCTTATGGAGACAGACTAAGAAACTTGTAAAGCATTGTGAGGTGTCATCACCACTCCGAAACGTAGATGGTTCCTGGGCTGTGTCAGACCTTGAAAAATCTGAGCTCTTTGCCAACCATCTTTCTTCTGTTTTCATACCACATACTGACTTCTCTAATACTGATCACGAAAGACATGTACAAAACACTTTAGACATTCCTTTACAACTGTCATTACCTCCACTTTGCTTCACTCCCACTCAAGTTGCAGAACAAATCAGACAGTTACCTAAAAAGAAAGCTCCCGGTCATGACCTGATAAATGCTCAAGTGCTCCAGAAAATGCCAAGGAAAGCTCTAGTATACCTAACATCAATTTATAACGCAATACTCAGAACGACTAAATTCCCCTTACAATGGAAATACTCATTCATAAAAATGATTCACAAACCTAACAAAAACACTGACTTTCCTTCATCATACAGACCCATCAGCTTGCTCCCATTATGCTCTAAAATCTTTGAGAAACTTCTCTACAAACGACTTCTTGACATACTGACTACTGAAAACATAATACCTGAACATCAGTTTGGATTTCGTTCACACCACTCAACCATTCATCAGCTACACCGAGTGACAGACTACATTGCGACAGCACTAGAGCACAAATTATATGCAACAGGAGTATTTCTGGATGTTGCTCAAGCGTTCGATAGAGTCTGGCATCAGGGACTTCTTTTCAAACTTAAGACTATACTCCCTCCAACCTACTATCTTATTCTTCAATCTTTTCTTTCTGACAGATTTTTCTCTGTTTGCCAAGGTACAGAACTATCTACCATTAAACCAGCCCTAGCAGGGGTGCCTCAGGGGTCAGTACTCGCTCCTCTGTTGTATATTATTTACACATATGATATTCCAGATCCTCTCTATACTCTGACCGCGACTTACGCAGACGATACAACAATCTTGACAAGACATCAAAATTCAGCATACGCCTCACAGACTTTACAATATCACCTAAACAATTTCTACGACTGGTGCAAACTCTGGAAAATTCGACTCAACCTTGACAAATCACAACATATCACTTTTACCCTTCGACGTGAAACTTGCCCCCCTATTTACCTTGACAATATCCAAATTCCTCAGACAGACAAAGTTCAATATCTTGGACTGACCTTTGACAGAAGAATGACATGGGGCCAACATATCAAAAACAAAACAAAAACTTTAAACCTAAGACTACGCCTATTGTACTCACTCCTTGCAAGAAATTCGAAATTAAAACTTAGACAGAAATTGAATACATATACTTACCTACTCAAGCCTATTTGGACCTACGCTTTACAGATATATGGGACAGCCAAAAAGACTCACATACGTAAATTACAGACTTTTCAATCTAAAACTTTCAGGACTATTACCAAAGCTCCCTGGTACGTCAGTAACATTACTCTACATAAAGACTTACAGATGCCAACAGTTAACGACCACATACGAACATACTACAAACGATTTCATAATAACTTACACGGACATACAAACTCATTGATTCGAGGCATGGCCACAACTAACATGCCCGATAGCACCCGAAGGAGGCTTAAAAGAAGCTGGATGAGGGATCTCCTCCACTAACTAGAAATATTACGCTCAAGACAGGAAGGACGCCGCTGGGTACTCCTCTCCCTCACGCCTATTCCAAGACCAATCTCTTCATCTTGACATCACACTCGCTGATTGTCGGAACTTCTGACAGGTGTGAGTTGAAGAATCAAGTCAAAAAAAAAAAAAAAAAAAAAAAAAGAATTATGTTCCTCTTAGCATTGATTTGAATGATTTTTTTTTTTTAAAGATTAAACCAACTGCTAGTAAAATTGTTACTAACCAAGTGTTGGTAACAATTACGTAATTAGAGTTGGCAGTTGTGAGAGTTGTTAAAATATTTCACCTCGACTCATGAATCATAACCAGTTCAGCAATAAGGAGGTTTATTTATTATTTTACAAATAGATAAAAATAAAATGAGCCTTACATTTTTATTGCGTATTTTAATTATTAGTGGTTTAGAAGAATAAACTATATTCTAAAAAAAACCGTTGCGGTTTTCATATCACTTACTATGTCATTTAAATGATTTTACTTCTTATTAATATTTCATTATTTTAAATCTATAATGGGGACAGAGTTATTAAACCAAAGTAAAGATATTTAAGGCTATATTAAACACATGTGAAAACCAATTTATTCTCCAAAAATAGGTTAGAATAGTTTTTAAACAACTTAAGATTCATAATTCGATGCTTTATATATTTTTGGCTTGTCAAGTTTAAAAAAAAAAATTCAATTTTCGTATAATGAGAAATTTTATTTAGTTTCTGTGAAATAATAATAGTTTTCAGACATTATTAGACACAAGTTTTAGAACTACTTAAAGATTATTACACTTTAAGATTTAAAAAAAAAATGGTGCGATGCTTTTATATTAAGTAGAAATAAGTTTTTAAACATAATTAATTTACGTATTAGTAAAGTTTAAATAATAATAATAAGCTTTATTGACATCAATTATTGACAAAAGCCTCTCCCTAAGAGGATTTTAACGGATTTGGCTACAGCACAGAAAAATATGTTTAAATTATTAAAAAATATATATATTTTTTTTAATGTTTAAAATAAAACAAAACAGATAAATTTTTTTTTTTTTTTGTAAAACAGCCATGTAAGTCCAAAGAAAAACAAAACAAAGCCATACAGTAAACAGAACAGTCTTGGAAGCAAGCGGTTAATAAAAAGACAAACAGAACATAATAAAACAAAACAAAGCAACTAAATATTGTTTATAACTTCTTTCCATCTATATCTATCCCTCCCTAGAGATGGAAAGTACGATGGAAGTAGGATAGAAAGTTTAAATATAATACTTTAACTATAAATACAAACTCCAGACGATTAATATAAACTATGACAATTTCATGCACTGTATGTTATTGGTTTTTTTAAAAGTTGGATACAAAATTAATTTTGTCAAGTACTTTCTATAGAAATTTTATTTAGTATCAATAGAAAGATTTATTTTCCATATTATTATATTTTTATTTCATATTATCCAATAATACAATAGTATATATTATTAACTACAATGATTCAAAATCTTTATCAGTAAGGTTCTACGAATTCGTCGAATGTCAGATATTAATTTTATAGATACCATGTTATTTTTTTGTGGTGATTGTCAATTTTGTATAGGAAATTTCTGGATGAAAATATATATATAAAAAAAACGCTGCAAATTAATCCACAATGGTTTATTATTTCCGGACAATTATACATCTAAAGTAACATTACCTTCATAGTTACAAAGAAAAAAAAAAAATAAGTGATTCCTATTATTGGACTAAACTTTTTTTTTTAATTGGTAAATTTTATATCGCTGGTAATAAGCTAAAAAAAAATGCATTACACCAGTAACACATTCAAAATTTAAAAACCAAACAAAGGATATAACATTTGGAGTAGACCATATTAAAAAAAAACCGGAGACCATATCTTTGCCCCTAATTGTCCGATCTTAACGATTTTTTTTGTAGGAAATTTCGTAAACTTTTAAAAAATCATATACATTATCTACAAAAAGCGTAAACTTTTTGAGTTATTCGGAATTTAATTTTACCATCCCTCGTAACTTTGTAAGTATGTTATATAGATAAATTTAAAGGAAGTCAAGAAAATAAATTTAGCAAAGTTTCATTGAAGTACCGATTTCAATGAGTTACGAGGGATGGTACTATTAAATTTCGAACAACTCAAAAAGTTTACACTTAAAGGGCGTCAAAAAAATGACTTTAGCAAAGTTTCATTGAAATCGGTACATTCGTTTAGGAGCTACAGTCTATAGCAACGCAGGTTTTTCGGCCCCCATTTTGAAAGTAAAAGGGAGATGGTAATGTCGATGAAGGGGATCATCCTCGGGTGACATCTGATTTTATATCCAAATTTGAAAAAATCAGTCCAGTAGTTTCGGAGAAAATGCACCGACGGCGGACGGAAATAAAAAAATTTATTCCTTTTTCGAATTATACGTTTCCTGAAACGTGAAACCTCAAATTTTGAGAGGGGGTTAAGTTTTTTGAATTTTTTGGTCGATCACAATGGTTGATTATTGAAAATAATAAACCAATATATGGAAAATATGGCAATAGTTTACTTTGCACCGATAAATCACTTATGAACGTATGGGATGAGGCTCTGCCAAAAATCGAAATAATTCAGTCCTTCAAATCAAAAGCCTTGAGGAAAATAATAGATGACTTAAATCACGAATACTTGGATATCCTAACACTCATAGATACTGCTACAGAATACTATTCAAAATATTCTTGCACCTTAATAAATGGACAAAATTAAATGCTTTTTTTAAAGATTTTTTCGACGAACGTATTCAAATCCATTCGACCATTTTCGAAAAAAATAAATTATTTATTATCTGATGTTTGGTAAATTTGAAAGAAGAACTCACCAAGAATCCGAACAAGACCTTCATAGCGAAGATGCCGCAGACGCTGATACACAAACAGTAGCCCAATGCCGCACCCTGGCGGACTATATAGTACGCCGCTGCCCGCCGCAGGAAGGTCGCACCAAAAGGATTAACTCCATCATAATCCATCTTCCTCGCTTCATCCTCATCCCAGGACCATCCTTCGTCATCAGAAAGAAACAAAGGATCAATGTATTAAAAAAATCTTGCATTTTAAGTCATATTGGTCCTAAAGGCTCCCAAGTTTCTAAACTCAGCGCTGAGCTCATCGGTGAGATAAGAAATTTATTAGATCATTTCTAAAAAAAATCTGGTGCACTCAACACACAACTTTCACTTTCCGCTCAACTTTGAATTGAAATTATTTTCTGGCCATGTTGGGCTATTATAAAATTTTTGAATTGCATTTTCAACCGAGCTAAAGCTAAAAGATTACAGCCGACAAAGTCCTATTTATTATATCACCGGCCGATTATGGATTGCACGATCTGTTGATTATGGATTGCACGACCCGCTGATTATGGATTTTACGACTTTTAGTTATTAAACTGTTATTTTCCATTGCAAAGTTTACTAAAACGAAATTCAGAGATTTGCATTGTCTGCCATTGAGATGTCAAAAGTTGTCACACTAATTTTAAGTGATTAATGTTGGAACTACCCAAAGAGAAAATTCACCAATTATTCACTAATTTAATTTAATAAAAGGTTATAGGGCGATTAATTGGAAACAACGGACGTTAATACCTAATTTTTTAAACATAATATCAGATCTAGAATTATTAAACTACAGTAAATGTATTTAATGTTACAAACATATGCTTTATACATCCATGAAATATTTTTATATTTCACTCCTTCTTTCAGATAAGTACTATGAAATAGTTCTTTAAACAATGTCATTGCCTTGATTCACTAGCGGATCCAGGATTTAATTTTGGGGGGGCTTCAGCCCGAAAGCTTTTTTTTTTCATAAAAGTAACGATAATTACTTTGGAAAATACGAAAGAAACTAAGTACCTATACGAACTGGTGTTTAAGTGATTCCTAAAGCCCTTTTAAATGTAATTACACGAATAATTATACTTTAAGAGATAATTTTTTAGTATTTTTTCCGATAAAACATGGTTATATTTTACCATTGGGGGGGGGGGGCTTCAGCCCGAAAGCCCCCTCCTCCCCTCTCCCGTAGATCCGCCCGTGCCTTGATTAGGTGGAATTTTCTTGAAAACACGTGAACCGTTAAATATTAACAGTCTTTTATAACTTTCTATATCAGACATTGTTTTTTGCTCAAATTCTCCGCTTTCTAACGATGTATTACATGTATACCTTCTGACTATTACATCCGAAGATTCATTTACGAGCTAAATAGTTTTTTTTTTTTCTTTATTCAATTATCAAATTCATTCAAAAAGTATTTTTAGTTTTTTTTATTATTTATATCAATGAGAAATAGGTAATTGTTTAAAATAAACCAAATTAAAGGTACTTTAGAGGAAAACATGTCGAAAATTGGGCATTTAAGAGCTGTGAAGTGACATCAATGATGACATCAGGGATAAGATCTAACTGATATTAAAGACCACTTAATTATACAATGATTCATCGATTTTAATCAAAATCGTTAGATCCGTTTTTGAGAAAATCTTAAAAATGTGTTTAATCGATTCTATAAACTGCCACTTACAGACCTTAAATATGCAATTTAAGTTGTCACATTGATTGTAAATGGATACTGTTGGAATATCATAAAACGAAATTTCGTCAAACTATTCACTAATTTAATTTTCTAAAAGGTCACATGATGATTTTTCGGAATAAACGGAAGATAGATAAATAAATATTTAAATATAATATCAAATCTAGAGTTATTAAACTACAGTAAGTATATTTAAGATTATAAATGTATCTATGAAATATTTTTATATTTTTATATTATATTTCACTTCTTCTTTCACACTTGTACAATGGAATACTAGTGATACTGTTGGAATATTCACAAAGGGAAGATTCATCAAATTATTCACTAATTTAATTTTTTTTTTAAATTACATGACTATATTTCGTTATAAATGGACGTTGAAACCTAATTTTATTTAAATATAATATCAAATCTAGAATTATTAACTAAAAATTTAGCATGTTTTCCTAACTCTTAATAATGGAAGATAGTCAGTTATTTAAAATAAACCATATTAAAAGTACTTTAGAGGAAGACGCATATGAACATTGAGCTTTTAAGCTCTGTAAAGTGACATCAACGGGGATAAGACCTAAATATTAAAGACCACTTAATTATACAATGAAACATCGAGTTTAATCAAAATCGTTTGAGCCGTTTTTGAAAAAATGTTTTTCGCCGTTGATATAAAGTAGCACTTACGGATAACCGATTTTAAGAAAAAGTTGCTGACACATCTAAGGCATATATACCTATCTTAAATACGCAATCAATTTCGTATGACACTTCGTTTTTGAGCTAGACTGCTAACACACACAGACACACTGACACACATTTTGCGGGACTTGGTTATTTAAACTCAGGGTACCTCAAAACTTGAAACCTACTTACTTGAAAACTCAGATTCGAAAATTTTCACGACCGAAATACTTTCCCTTACTATTTATTACATATATAAGTAAGTTGAAGTAATAATTGATAGCATTCGCCGCGCCTTGTGATCCATCGATGACTTAGTGGTTTCATCGATGGATCTGCTAGATGTAATCTCGCCATAACTTCAGTAAGGTTGTTTCTTAATATATACAAGCGGTTTATTGCAAATGGTCACGAAGTAAATATATGATGCAGCTGTACTTTTAAAAAACGTTTTTGTGAATTTCGACTTCAGGTAAAAAAGACACAAATACTTTTATACATCAAATCACTAGCCGATCTAGGATTTCATTTTGAGGGGGGGACTCCAGCTCGAAAGGTTTTTTTTTTAATTTATAAAGATAATTACTTTGGAAGAAAAAGAAAGAAACTAACTACCGATACGATATGGTGTTTAAGTGATATTTTAAGTCCTATTAAATGTAAATACCACGAAAAAGAATACTTTTAGAGATACTTTTTAAATATTTTTTTAATAAGACATGGTAATACTTTACCATTTTGGGAGAGGAGAGGGGGCTTCAGCCCGAAAGCCCCTCTCCGTAGATCCGCTTGTGCATCAAATGTAGTTACAAACAGCGCATTATTTTCTGATTTCGTGGAGAGAAAATTCATCAAAGTTCCTAGTAATTTAAGGTTATAATGTGCCACTTAATATTTTATTGCAGTAAATCGATGATATATTCCATATATCCTGTTTAATTTCTGTCTATATTTTTTTTTTATTTTAAAACAATCGATTCAGTTGGTAGGTATTTTCTTATCTTTTTTTTTCCGTTAGCATCAATAAGAGTTAACCTAAACTCGGCTTAAATCGCTGCCTCTCTTGCACTATAGCTTCCTCACTATCAGGGGTACTCAGAGGAAAGAGATATCATTTTTTTTTTTAACACATTTCATTAGGTATAAACAGTTTGTTTTTTAAACTATATTTGTTGTAATGCATCTCAGGAAATGGAAAATAAATAAATCAAAGCTTTCTACTCCCACTTACGTATATATGTAATATATAGTAAGGGTAAGTATTGCGATCGTGAAAATGTTTGAATCTGGGTTTTCAACGGAAATACACGTTTTGAGGTACCCTGAGTCGAAATGACCAGGTCCCGAAAAATGGTATGTGTGTCTGTGTGTTTGTATGTTAGCAGTCTAGCTCAAAAATGAAAAGTCCTATGAAACTGATATCACGTATTTAAGATAGGTATATGCCTTAGTTGTTTCAGCAACATTTTCCTAAAAATCGGCTAACCGGAAGTGCCGCTTTATATCAACGGTGAAACATATTTTTACAATTATCTCAAAAACGGCTCTAAAGATTTTGATTAAACTCGGTGTATCATTGTATAATTAAGTGGTCTTTAATATCTTTTAGGTCTTATCCCCATTGATGCCACTTTACAGGGCTTAAATGCTCTAATGTTCATTTACGTCTTCCTCTAAAGTACCTTTAATATAGTTTATTTTAAAAAATCAACTCTCTTTTATTAGCATTAACTATAAAAAATGGTTAAATATGAAGTTTAAAAGAATATGATAATTGGAAACTGGAGAAAAAATAAAAATGCTTATCCAGGTTGAAAATGAATCTCCGGAAATAGCTTTAAGCTTTAGCTTCGTTTAAAATGCACTTCAAAAATTTTATGATAGCCCAACAAACTAGGAAGTTTTTTTTTTAAATTCCGTACCTGCAAATGGGTGGCGATGAATAGTAGTTAAGCCGTTCCTTTTTAAATGCTACTGATAAAGACTATGAAATATACTTGTCTAGTTCACGATGAAACAATTGTTAATTGCCTTAATTGAAATAAATATTGCTGTTTCCTTTAAAAAAAAAAAAACTGACTTACTTAAAGAAACACGAAACTCATAGTCCGTGGTACAGACCCCTTTTTATCGAATTATTAGCATCCGCCTGAAACTTCGTAAATAGTTCCATCTCATCGTAACCTACAACTATTTTATTTACGAAAACTCTTGGACTAGGGACGTTTTCAATCTGGAAGGGGCGACCTTTGCCTGTAGATAATTTGCTCACAAAATCGACAACAAAGGTGGCCTACAAAAATATTGGGCCGTTTGTCCTATATAACCTCGTTATTTTGTATATTTGGCGGTGTAGGTCACGCCAAATGGCTCAATATTTTTGAAGGCTGCTTTTTCTCTCGATTTTGTTATCAAATTATCTTACGATACAAGTAGAAAGCAAATGGGAATTTGTGAGTATTAAGTATCTAATTAAATACACAAAGTTTGCTCCCCCTATAGATTTAATTCCAATTCCAAGAGTTTTCGTAAATAAAATAGTTGTAGGTTACGATGTGATAAAACTATTTACGAAATTTTTAGGTGGATGTTAATAATTTGGTAAAAAGAGGTCTATACCACGGACTATTATTTTAATAAAAAAATTATTGACGTCGTTTCCTTTAAAAAAAAAAACTGAATTACTTAAAGAAACACAAAACTCAACTGTTCTTCTTTTTGACGGAAAATTGGACCATTGTTTATATAAACTTTTCTGTAGCTCTTGAAGTCTGCTATGACATATTTAAATATTTCTCTTTGCATGTGTGACACCCTGTATATACATAT